AAATATATTTAACACTATTTATTGTAGTGTTTACTAGAACTACTGCATGTCTTTCTTTTGGAGTTTGTTCTCTCTGAAAAGTTTAACTATGAAAATCAGAAACCTACTCAGCTAAAGAGAGAAGTGCTAGAGTCCGTCTTTTCTTAATTGTAATATTTATTGTTGGCATCATCAGTGTGACAATAATGTTGGTACTACTTAAAATTAATATATGACATATAGTCACATAACAGTAACTGACTCCAATAATACAACTTCAACACTTTAGTGGGGCTCAGCTTGCTTGCTGTCTCACCAGGTGAACACGCGTGACTACCTTACCCCCCAGAAATTAGAAAGTCCAAGGTTGTCTTATTTCCGGGTTTTGTCCTCTTAACTGACTGAAGTTTTTTATGTGTTGTTTTTTCCCCCAACTGATAAGTTGGTAAGGAGATTGTCTACCCTCATTGACTGTGCACTTTTACATCCTTCTTGTTATGAATTTTAAGACAAGTGAATCCAGTGTGTAGTTTGTGGGAGAAGACCGACCTGGACTATGATATGTAGTCTGACAATCCTGGATCAGGGTTAATTGAGGACAGGGCTTCTGGAGTGCTAGTGACTGGAGACCTTTCACCAGAGGTTCAGCTAGCTGTTACGCATGTAATATCTCCAAACTGTAGGATAGCTGCTTGTCAAACCACATAGTCTTGTTTTCTCTTCCTTAACGTGTTAACATACAGAAGATCCAACATTTAGGTGTGATAGCTGTCGGGTTGTTCAAAGGCGCCTTTGAAGGAACTGAGCCAAGGTTTCAAAAAAGTTGTGTAACAAGTAACTTAACAGTTTTTCTGCTGTTAAGTAGCTATATTAGTAGTGAAAGAGCTTTTTCAGATAGGCCTTTTTAAACAGAGATAACTGCTGTAACGTAGGTTTTCCATTACACTGGCTTTGCCTTTTTTACACTGAACCAAACAGCACCAGCATAATGCTGTTCCAGTGTGTGATTATTAGATTGCATGCTGGTTGTTCTGGTAGCCAAAGAGGTGTGACGTGAAACACAACATCATCTGCGACATGTGTGACATACTTATGTCCTGTCCTGCTGGCTCCCCATTTTACACATACATCGATTCGTCTCTGTTACTACCTCTGCTGCGGGTTAACAATGGAACAACAAAGCCCCCCCATTCAGTGTTTGTAGGTTTTAAGTTGGGTTTATGTTCGTTGTAGTTGAGCTGGCGCCAGATTCGCACACCCAAAAAATTACATCATCACATGTTATGCGTCGAACGGGTAGGCTTTGATAGTTGTCATGGCGAAGGGATGATTGGCAAAGTAGACTGGCTTGTACAGACGTCTCTTCAACTCTTCATCGAGACATCACAGGGATGATCCGATTACTCTGGGGAAAGAAGAGACTTCTTGCCGCAGGGTGTGGAAAAACATGAGAGATTGCTGTAAAAGCTAAAAATGGAAAGAGGGACAACTCGGGGGGACAAAGCCAACACATTCTCACTCCAGCCTCATCACATTTAAGTTTTGGTCATGGACTTTCCACATCCACATACGACGTGCAAGTTCTGCCTGTTACATGCATCGTCTTCTTTCAAAAAACACTTCCGTTTTCACAGGAAATTTAACATGTGCATACAGTCTCTTTAAGAATAAACACCCTACGTCAGTACAACACCGCAAATTGCCGCTTTTTTCCTTCAGCAACAAACGCACATGGTTAGGTTTAGGAAAAAAGAACAGGTTTTGGCATTAGAATCTTGCAGGATGTGAACACCGCTCTTTTGGGTGAAAGTCAAAGTTTGTTGGACCCAGTCAACATCATTTCCGCCCTGCCCCCCTTGGATTTTCGCTGCCTTAACTTTCGTCTTTGTCTCGCTGTGTTTCCCCCTGATGCCGCCAAGCGCCGTTAAACTATAACAGCGACCGGCCATGTATCATGCTGACATTAAAGGATGTCTTTCTTCGTTGGTTTCTGATGCCACAAGTCACTGCCCAAGTGCTAGATTTCGACGACGTTGGAGGGAGACCAGGCTCCAGAGCGGTATACAATAATTTCAACTCAGAGGTAAGTAGCAGTAATAATTACAGTTCACAAATGCAATTTTCTGTTTGTTTTTTTTTGCCGTTATATCATCTTAACTCCTGTTACTAGGCAGCCTACTTTTGTGGTAATGTTCTTCTGATAATGCTTGTGAAGTTAAGGCCCCCGGGGAGTGCACAGGGCTTTGACGCCAATTTTTGTACTGGTCAAACAGTGCAATTACCATCACATGATGCTGTGAGGCCCAGAAAGACTTTTTCCTGTTGATTAACTTGGTGAACGAGACAAGAAAAGAGATTTTTAGAGCATCACAGCACCCGCGAAATGACTTGTTTTACTATCAGAATTGGATCCATTTGGTCTAACAACATTAAGAAAGTCTAGAAGAGCTGCACGACTAAATCATTTTATCCCCATTAAAGTTAGCGGAGGGCTGACCCGGAAATAGGCTAACAGTGCTAATCATTGGGTGATTTCATACCAAGCTTTTTTTGGCTTCATGGCCACTATGTAACTTTCGTAGAAAGAAATGGGGGCCCACCTCCAACACATCCATATTCCTTTATACATTCATGGTTGACTTGTTGCTTATCCACAGAATATCCTGTTTTTGTGCCCCCTAGTGTTTCGGAGCATATTGCAATGAACAACGCATTAAGTCGCTGTGCATTCTTGAGCCTACAGAAGCCTGCGCCATGGTGTCTTAAGCGAGTATCAACAAAGCTTAACACACAGCAGCAAGTCAGAATAATAATGCAACATTCCCACCTTGAGCAGTATGTGTAAAAGGTGCTGCTGATATTTTTTAAGTAACTTGATTATCATCTGTCTAAGTTGGTCAGAGAAGAGTTTGTTCCTTGTTGTGTTTTCACTACAATCTCACCACTGTTCTTTCAGCTGCTTCTTAATCCTGTCAGGCCAAACCAAACTTACACTGGTCATTTCCCTCCAACCAAAAAATCCCTCTCTCCACTGTCCTCTGTGTCCAAGTTTTAGTATGATCACCCTCTCTCTCCTTCAGTACACGATTGGTCAGTCCCCCATCCTCTCTGCTGCCCTCCCCTCATTCTCTCTCTCTCTCTCTCTCTCTCTCCCTCCCTACTTAAATACTTTTAGCATAAAGAGAGAGAAGGAGGGGAGGGATAGGGGGATGGGAGATCCATGGGGGAGGGGAGCTGAGTGCTCACTCTGTTGTCACTGGCTGGAGAGAGAGAGAGGGAGGGAGGGAGAGAGAGTGGAGTTGTGTCCCATATGTGGAAAAAAAGCATAGCAGTGCACACACGAGTCTGGTCTGCTCCAGGGATTATCGTAGCGCTTTCAGATCTGATGGAGGACATGCAGGCATGAATAGGTAAGGCTGTCTGTCTTCTCTGCATCTCTGTGTTGATCTGCTGTCAGAGCCCGCTGTTTGACTTGGCTCCGCTGGCTGGCTTAAGTTGGAGGACAGGAGCTGAGCGTGTTGTGGCAGCTCTCCTCTTTGGCCACTGACCATGAGACATTTCCCTGAGCAAACCAAACCTCCAAACTCTGCCTTCTCCTCTCAGCCTTTCTCTGAACTGTGCTGGAACAGAGCTGTGTTTGTTTTAATTGGAAGCTGTGGTTTGCTGCCGTAGCCCAGTTAGTTATTCTGGGCTGAGTGTTAAAAGTTGACTGTCAGTTAGAGCAGAGGGGGTCGGAGTCTGAGGCGGCGTTGTACGTGAAGCCTGTTGGTGTCCAGGGACAGCCGTGTGGTCATTGCGTAATGTCCCATATATTTACCATTCCATGTGGTATATGAGTGAACGTAAACTGTTATTGACTCGTGATTTTAAACATACTAAGAAGGATAGAGTCTCTGTGACAACTGTAATCATGTGTAAAAGCAAATGTGATTATGTTGCATTGCTACTGTTAATTTGATACTTCTGAGTTTATGTGTTATGATTTTGGTTTTTCAATATATACAATAGCTCTACATTTTCATATAGATAGACTGTATATCAGCACTAACATTTACATGTTTATTTGCTGCTAAAAATGTTTTGAAACATTTTAGAAACTGGAAGACAATTTTGGTTATCTCTGTATTGTTTTTACACCATATTTTTTTGCACCAGTATGGATTAAAAATTGTGCTTGGTGTCCACAGAATTGAGAAATAATCCAAATAGCTGCTATGGAAAAAAAACTACACTTTCAGAGTTGCTCTAATCTCATGGGTTTGCTCAGAGAGGTGCCTCATATCAGAATAAAACAATGGAGGATTAAACTGTCTTTAATCTGTGCATGATTAAAATACGACATTTATAACTCAAAGCAGGACACAGATAGACTACATTTCACTTTAACAGGTCATTGAAAATGGACATAATTGGTTGAATTTTTTTTTTTTGTTTTTTGAAAAGAGTTATTTGAATTTTCAGACAGATTAGGACAGTAAGTGGTGTTATTTTATTTAAATAACTTTAAAAAGTAAATTTTTGTCATTACAGGAAATATTTATTACTCTGTATTTTGCTTATGCAGCTCCAAAAGTGTTTGGTCTGATAAGAATGCAGTCTTTATTGCCCCAGTGCACAGAGCAATGGTATGCATGAGTCTTTTTGTGAGGCAGATTTAGAAAGCCCTCTTTAGAGGTTGAACGCAGCTTCACAATCAGCTTAATGCCTGCCTATAATGAATACCCTTGTGTGTGTCAATTTGGCAGACTGTGTGCATGCATGTGTGTGTGTGTGTGTGTGTGTGTGTGTGTGTGTGTGTGTGTGTGTGTGTGTGTGAACTCAGTGTTACACTGATAGGGTTCTCAGGTTGTCAGTAATTCTATCATACTCTGGGTGAATTCTGGTCATGTGTTTGTGTGTGTGTTTAGGTTTGTGTTGCCGTGTGAGCTTGTGTGAAAGGGTTGGTTGACATGTGAGTGTTTGTCCAGACATTGTGCAGCAGCCTATAACTGCCTCTCTCTCTCTTTCTCTCTCTCTCTCAGGGCTGTTCTGTTGTCAGTGCAAGCTCATGCTAGTGATGGACTACAGCCGGACGGACGCTAACCTTAGCTGGCGTTCACAAAACAGCATTCCTCCTTACTGAGACCAGCTCCACAGAATGCTGAGTCCTATTGTCCCCTATAGTGAGTACACTCTTGTTTCTCTTTGCATGTCACACTGAACAGCCCCACTCGACTTAGTTGGACTTTGCCTAAATCAATGAGCCCCTGCTGCAGAAATAAGCATTTGTGCACACTGTGTGCTGTAGTTTGCAAAGAGAAGGAAAAAATTCTCAGCCAACTGTGCAAATGTGCGAGCCTCAGAGCAGAAACCTGACTTTTTCCTTGACGCGCACTGTGGAAATGCTAAACCCTGGGCACCAGCCCTGTCTGAATGTTTCATCACCAGGCGGAAGACACAGAGGGGGGGAAGGAAGAGGGACAGAGGGAGGTTTGAGGGCTGATGGTTTAACCAGGAGAAACCCCTCCATTCTGCCAGTGTCATTTTACCAATACAGCTCAGGACTTACCACCACACACGCTGCCCCCCCCCCCCCCCCCACCCCCCCCTTTCCCCTTCTCTCCCTTTTCTCCCTTCATTGCTGACCTAATAACTGACGTGTCCAGTTTTGGCCTCCCCCCTTTGCACCCTCCCACCAGGTTTCATTTGAGTCCAGTGCTCTGGCTCTCCAAAACAGCATTGTTTGCCGGCCAGCATGGGGCTGCCTCCGCGGCCTCGGCCTCAACAGCCCCTTTTTCCCAGCTCTTTAACTCACCTCAAAGGAGCATTATCGGCATGACAGTTGCAAGAAAAGAGGAAGAAATCAAACAGAATTTAAAGAGTATTACTTAATAATGGATAGTAAAAACCTCAGATCTGTTTCTCAGTATCCAAAAAATGTATTGCAGAGGATGTGTGAGGGAAGTGTGTGGGTGTGAGGAATCATACTGGGCAAAACAGCGTGATTAAAGCATCATGAGCCGATGTTTGACAGTAACCATGACACTTTGTTTGCTTTTTGTAAATTTCACTCTGTAAATAGCCAGTGTTATTATTTGACTGCTCATAAGAGGAGTGGAAATTCGAATTGTTGCCAGCCGAATAAGTAGTTGACCTTATGTGTTGTTATGAAATATGTCTCTCACAAGTGGCTCTTGATGATGTTGATTTAATGCCTGTTCTCCCAGAACATGTTATGTTTGTTTCCCATTAGAAGATATTTATAGTTGTAAATCCAATTAAGCTGATTTGCTCAAATAACACTGATGGACCATTAATTCGTAAGAACACGCATGCATGCATATGCTGCTTCCCATCAAGGCCTGTTCAAGTGGTCGTTCCATCAGCTCCCTGCACCCTGATAGTCCACACTAACTGAACTCTCCCTGCTGCTAAAGTTGACAGCACGTCCAAGAATGTCACAGACTGCTGGTGGAATAGTTAGCATGCCTTCAGAGCCGGCACACTGCTGGTCCTTCATGGGAATCTTCCAGTACACTACGTACTTGCCTTTGTGTGTGATTTGCTTTTATGATCTGGATGCACAATGCTGGTGTTCATCCGCTCTGTCGAGAAGCTTCATGGTTCTTCATTTACAGAGTAGCTCTGTTGTGCAAAGCTTCTGCAGCCCTGTGATCGTTTCAGAACAGCCTGCTAGTGTGCGTGTGTGTGTAGCTAGAGGGAACGTATGAGCGCACACGGCAATGTTAGGTAGTCACGTTGTTTACTCTCAGACCAGTGACACACAAACACGCCCCTGTGCTTGCTGGTGACCCTGCAGCTCACTGTCTTTTAGTTAAAGACTGTAGTCATGATTCTGCTGAGCAAAAATACGACCGTGAGGGACGTTGCATATGTGCAGGATATGTGAAGACTCTCACCCCCATGTTGGAATCCCATTTGTGGGAATGTGGAGCATTCCTGCTTCCCAGCGTTACTTCTAACTCCTGCTGTAGCCATTTCTGCCCCTATACATAGACGTATCCCAGTGTAAAAACACACACTGTTAGGACAGGTATGCCAACCAGCTCTTTTTGTTATCAGGAGCTCTGAATAATCCAGTGTCAGTGGTTTAGATCCTACATTCAGCCAGTGTGTGTGTGTGTACGTCTCAGTCTTCTCTGGCGTGTCCGGCCTTGGTCCTCGTCTCCGGCCAGTCCGGCGGACTTCAAGCTGGGGCAAACAACCACGGCCGGACCTGAGGAGAAACCTGAGAGAGATTCCAGGGGCCATGGATACTCCTGGAGGGATTTGGTGCAAAGAATCTGTAATCTGCACTTCAAACACACTCTTAAATCAGTCCCAGGCCGCCAACACAGGAGTGCCCTAACTCTTGTTTCTGGGGCCCCCACTGGTGTAGCGATACTTTTTCTTTTAAAACAGCACACACTCTCTCTCTCTCACACACACACAGCAACTACACACAGGAGTCCAGATCTGGCAGTTTTTATAGCTCTCCTCTGACTGACCCCTCTCCCTCTCCTTTCTCTCCCTGGCTCTGTTTTTATGTTTTGTGCAAGTGTCTTTGTGAATGACTCGGCTAAGTCATGGAGTAGTTTGTATAGAAAAAAAGAAGGAGTAGATCTCATCCTGGCCCCTGAAGTAGCAGGTTGGAAGGCTCCACCAATGTCCATCCCTATTGTAGGCAGAGTGGTATGAGTGCTGCAGTGGAGGGGCCTGTGAGGCCCTTCAGTAAACACACAGCCTGCTAAAGTGTGTGTGAATAAGAGACGGGATCATTAGTGTGGAGTGTGAATGGGCTCTAATTAGCCCCCAATGTGTGTGGTTGTGTGTGTGTGTCTGTGTGGATGTTTGCATGTGTTTGTGTCCACAAGAAAAGAAGGTTAGGGAACCAGGGTCCTGTGAGTCCACTGGCCCTGTGCTCTGTCTCTCTGAGGGTTCATCAGCTCATTAAGGAGACCTCCGCTCCCGTTAAGGGCCCAATTAAGAAGCAAAGGTGGTGAGGCTCATTTGGATGGCAACACTTCACTGGATTCCTGAGGCAGCAGAATTCAGAGCTCGACAATGAGACACAACTTCTTTCACACCAGCGCAGCTAATTAGTAAATAGGCACGCTTGAGAAATAACATGCTTTAATCGTTATGCCATTAGGTGTTTGTAGTGCAGTGATCATAAAATGCACTGCCACTGAGGGAAGTGTGGCTGTTGATATATTGAGCTTTCTCTAATTTGTGTGTGTACTAACAGAAAACAACAAATCCCAGAGCTGTCCATGTGCTGCGAGTACAAGCTGGGAGCGCAGAGGGGCCGGGGGATTTGGACAGAAAGGAGGGAATTCAGAATGCTCACTGGGAATGGGGGGAATAAGGGAGGTGGAGAAGCAGGGAATCTGGGAAAGGAGGAGATTGCAGGGAAAAGATAGAGCTGAGGAGGGGGAGATAGAGCAGAGATTGGGCGAGTGAGACAGATGGAGGGGGTGATTGGTCATCACAGAGCCTTAGGACAGCTGTTCTTTGATATATTAGTGGACACAATGCCCTAAAGCCAGCCTGCAGTCACAGAAAATAGGGACCCTGTTTTTCTTGAGAGGGAGGGGGGGATAGTGGGTCTGCCATTTGTGGACATGCGTTAGTAGACACGGGGGATGGGGGAGTTGTTTCTAAAATTACGAGCATGAAGTGACGCATCCAGCAATTATTCTGGAGGCTTTCTAGTTTTGGAGAGTGCTGAGAAAAAGGCTGTAAAATGAGCATGCTCTGAGATGGGAGTTTGCTTTTTGCTGCACTATCATTAGCGATTCTAAACATGTTTGTCAATTAATCAATGTTTAACAAATGCCATCAAGTAGTTTGGCTGCTGCTCCTCTCCATCCACTCTGCAAAACAACAACTTTTAATGACACTCTGAATATACGCTCACCGCTAATGAATTGGAGATTTACCACATAGAAGCTTATTTTGTTCTTTGTCCTTACTATATTTATCACAGACAAGGGTGCAATGATTTCATTATTCTCTTCAAAAACTCAGTGCGATGATGTCCTTCTCTTCTAATAAAACCACATTAGCTGCACACGCTGACAAAAACTATTCTGACAGCTGGCCTGAAACATTCCCAAAGGGGGATAAAACAAAAAATAGAGTAAGTCAAAGTGTCATTCTGATACATGGAGTACAGATAGCTCTTCCCACAGAGAGAGGAAGGTACAGAGGTAAGGAGAGAGAGAGAGAGAGACACGCATAGAGGACATCCCTCAATGCCACTGCAGGAGATGGGCTCCTTCCTCCTGGGATTGGACTGGTGAGGCGTGCTTGAAAAGAGCTGCGTCTGCTCGTGTGCTGGGCAGCAGGTGTGAAAACTCCCCACCAGAGCTCCCGCACTCTTCTGTTATTACATCTTTTTAGGGCCATGAAAGAGGGAGCAGATGAGCCAGAGGGAGCGAGAGGCAGAGTGGGAGTGCGGGATTGTGTTTCTTTTGATTGATAGCAGCCCTGTGACTAACACATAGATTTATAATAATTCTCCTTAGCAACGGCCAATTATGCACGTCTGATAAATTATGATCACTGTTGTCCGGTGTGAGCATTATCCTTGTCCTAAGGCGCTTTGGGAAGAGGCTTTAGGACTGACCTCGAACTTCCTTTAGCAGCTTTTTGACAATACTTCACATGATTATTCAGCATGTGAGGGGTAATTCTGCATGTTTTGTAACTAAAACATGCAGAATTCACAATATATCCGATATAATTTTTCAGTTTGCTGCTGGAAACAGCAGCAGCTGATAAAATGTGTGTTTCATACCAAAGTGAGAGAACATCCAGAGACAATTTTCCACTGTCTCCACCTGCCACGCTGTGAAATGTGGCCGGCCTCTCAGATTGGTGTTTTTATGACGGACCAGGTAGTATGCAGCGGCAGGACGGCAGCAGGCCTAGTGAGAATGCCCTGCTTGATATTAGTGTCATAAATCACAGTGAACTTGAGAACAGCGGACTTAAGGGGTTTCAAGAGTGAGCGACAAATCAAGATAACAAACAGCGATAAATAACAGATTCTGAGTGCTGCTCCCTCTGCACGACAAACTCTTGTTTAAAGCTGCTTATTGGATTTAAATGCACAGAAGTGTTTAAAGATTCCAGAAGAAAGACATACTTTCCTCTACATATTTATGTCCAGCAAGCA